AAAGGGGATTTCCTGAAGAGGAGAGAGGGAACCTATCTGTGAAAAGCAAGAATGGTTTTTTCTAGTTCGAAAGGGAATAGGGAGAGACAAGGGAGAGATGATATGTACATCTTTGCGCCTTATTTTGTGATTCCGTCTCCTTGCTTCCTGTCTCTTCTATTCCTTGCAGCACGCTTCGGGAAACATAGCATCCTTGTTATCTTTCCTCTCTCACTTCCCTTTCCCTTCTCTTCTTCCGATTCCTTTTAACTGATAAAACACAAGAAAGGAACTCATATGATAAAGCAGTGAAAAGGTAAGCAGAGGGTGACTCCTTGCGCGTGAGCCTTTCCATAATACGCCATCATATTCATCCTCTCGGCCTATCTCTTCTGTTCCTTTCCTTAATTACTCTTCTCCTTCTCATAGTTCTTCCTTTTTGTTTTTCTCATTTCGAAAAGAAAGAGGGAAGGGAGAAACAAGGGAGAGAGAATAGATAAAGAAGAGCGCCATCTTCTCTATTCATCTGTCTTCTATTCTCTTCCTTGCTCTTCCCATTAAATATGCAATCCTTGGTATCTCTCCTCTCTCCTTTTCTCTGCCTCCAACAGATGTGCTTTTGGATCGTTTTCTGCATCTTCAAGCGAGAAAAAAGGACACAGAATGCGATTAAAAAGGACGCCCATGTTGGATTGGCAGCAAGCCCAGCTGATGCTCATGATTCTCTCTCTTTCCCTACACATGGGCGATGGAACGGGTGTCCTTTTCAATCGTTTTCTGCATCTTCAAGAGAAAAAGGGACACCCCACAAGAAGGAAAAGTAACATAAGAGATAGGGAGGGAAATTGAAGAACTCCTCATTGTACTTGGTCATTCCCTTTCCTCTCTTCTTATCTGCCCATTTTCTGTGCGCCTTGTTTTGTCTCCCCCTCTTCTCCCATCATCTCTCTTCTGGTCTTTTCTTTGCTCTTCCCATTAAAATGCAACCCTTTTTATGTCTCCTCTCTCCTTCTCTCTCCCTCCTCTTCTCCTGTTCCCTTCTAAACGACAAAAACGCAAGAAAGGAAGAATAAGAGGGGAATGGAGGCCCTGTTCCTTTTCCTCTTTCAATGGATGGGGGAAGTGGGCGGAGTTGGCCCCTTGCCCGTACCCCCTCCCCATGCTTCAGCAAACCCCTCCTCTCGCCCTATCGCCTCTGTTTTTTTTCCTTGTGCCCAAACGGAAAACGAAAACGGGTTCCTTTGTATGTTCATTGTCCTTCCTTTTGTTTTTTTATTTCACAGGGAAAAGAACCAGAGAAGAGGAAGATAAGAACGAGAGGTGAGATGAAAACGGCACCATCTTCTCTTTGCCTTATTTTTGCACCTCCCTCTCCTGTCTTAATTTCTCTTCCACTCTTTTTTTTTCCATTGCTCTTCCCATAATATTGCATTCCTTTTGATAACTCACAGGAAATTAAAATGGCCTCCTTGTTGTCTCTCCTCTCTCACTTCCCTTTCCCTTCTCTCCTTCTGTTTCCTTTTAATTTTAACTGATAAAACACAAGAAAGGAGCTTGTAAAATCAAGCAGTGGAAGGGTAAGCAGAAGGTGACTCCTTGTGCGTGGACCTTTGCCGTACTTCACCATACCCCTCTTGTCGGCCTATCTCTTCGGCTCTTTTCCTAACCCTTCTTCTTTTCATCTTTCTTTTTGTTTTTCTCATTTCGAAAAGACAGAGGGAACGGAGAGATAAGGGAGAGAGGATAGATAAAGAATAGTACCATCTTCTTTGCGCCTTGTTTTATCTCTCTTCTATTCTTTTCTTGGCTCTTCCCATGAAAATCGTGTTCCTCTTATCTTTCCCTCCTTCTCTCCCTTCTCTTCTCCTCCCGAGAGCCTTCGACTTTAGGATTGAGGAGAAAAAGAGAAGAGAAAAGAGGAACTACCTGGTTCTTGTTCCTGAGGCCTCCATAGTACGACTGACGTGACAGCAGCGTACCCTCGTGGAAACGTGTATGGCTATAAGAAAACCCGAGTCCCAGCCTGACCCTATTTAAGCCACCCACCCCCCTCCCCCCCCCTCCCCGCCCCAACAAAATTTGGAAACGTGGCGCAGCGACCCGCCCCAAGCAAATTGTGGGGGGGAGAACCGGTTTCATACCTTAAGGCCTGAATCTTTCCAGCCTTTAAGATTCCTAGAGCCCAAAGGCCCAAGGGCCTCAGGGCCTCAAGCCTTACTGCGTAAGCCCTTAACCCTAAACACAAACCCTTAAAGCAAACAACCGTCCGGAAAAAACACTTGTGATAATAACGGGTACCTCCAGCAAACTCGGTTCGCAGAATCAATTGTGATTATAGAGGATGCGTAAATAAAGTCAGTGCAACATTAGTGCTACTGGTAAGGAGAGAGATGTATCAGTAGCATCGACAGAGCAGCGCCGGCAAATCAATGAAGCGGTAGGCATAGACAGGCCACCGGGTAGCCACCTAAGCTCCCTGCCCCGCACATATCCGCGCTTTCCGTTCCTAGCCCAAAAAGCGAGAGCCTGCCCCCCACATTTTCTACTAGTGGATGCAACGAATCCATGCTGCGTCAGCCCCTGAGGCTGGAGCAAAGCTCGAGATGCCGAGCAATGTCAGTGAGGAAGCAGAGCTCGAGAGGTCCAGCTTCATCAAAGCCATTTGAAAGCTTTACCAAAACCAAAACAGACCCGCAGTGCAACGCGCAGTCTTTCTATTCTGATTCGTTTGCGGCAGACTTGCTGCGCCGTGTTGTGGCTCTTGTGCTTGTGAAGTCCCTAGTCTCCTCTGAACATCTACCGTTTGCATATTTCCTATCCTGCACAACGCGGATTTCTTCCAGGGCGGTATGCAGTACCGTATAGCAGGCTGTTTGATGTAGCATACGGGGTCCGATATGGATCTATGCCAGGTTCTGTAGTTTGCTAGACTAGAAGGGTCCAGAGTGTTTTTTCGAGTCTTTATCTCCTTCAGCTTAATGACTGAATGACTGTGCTTGCGGGCCCTTTGTAGACTCGAATAGACCATGCAGCCAAGCTTAGTGCAGCTTGCTATGAGAGCGCTCTGAGTCGCTGGCTGGCTAGCTCCTCAAGAATTGCCGGGTTGTGCACGCATGGACATGCCGTGACATACCCCAAAAGGGTCTTGCCAAGTGCAAAACAAACGTTATGACTAATTAGTTCTTATGATGACCCGAGCCCTATAGCCCTGAATCTGAATTTCATTCTTCATGACCCTGAGGTACTGCCTGAACCATGTCAACCAGACTAACACATTGCTGGGGCCCAGGGCGAAAATGGAGGTTTATGGTTCGGTTTAGGGTTATGGAGGACAATGATGTGGCAAGAATGCTGAAGCATGGTAGCATTACTGTAATTATCGTAGTGATGCATAATTAGCCTGAAATCGTAAGTTCTTAGCCTTGAGCTTCAAAGCCGTAGCACACGCTCGCACTGTAGCACTTGCCCTGCAATTCAGAGCGGAGCACCAACATGGTCTCAGCGTCCTTGAGGGGAGCAACTACAATGGGGCGTAAGAGCGGCCCGAGCAATGACAGTCCAAAGCGGCAGTCCAACAGTACAAAGCCTGGCCCGACGAGGTCCTGCTCAACCCCAAAGCCGCCTCAATGGAAAGCAGCCAGGACGGCAGGGCAGATCAATGCCCGGAAAACACAGAACTGACAGAACTCATCCAGGCCTAAGGCAGCCCAGTCCTTCTCGGCAGGGTGACCCTCGCAGCCGCAGCCACAACAAGGCCCCGAAGTGGAGCCGGCACAGGGTATGAAATTGCCCATTGTGTCAAAGGTGCCCATACTCAAAATGGACCTCAGCGACAATGCAATCAGCGACCGAGGACGGAGCATAGCCTTCATCCGACCTGCCTGGGCGGAAGTTAAGCTTTGGAAGCACCACTATGAGCACCACTATGCGGCAATCCAGGCAATCTAGCGTGGACAGGCGTCGCACATCTGCGAAGCAGATGGACACCATAGTTCCTTCGACGGTTTCCTGCCGCACGGCAGTCGGAATTGTCAATGTTCATCACCAGAATCCCGCCGAGCAGATAGTTCGGCCAGTGCTCCTTCCAGGCTTGTGAATCCTTTGCCAACAGTTCGACTCTGTGAAAGGGGGTATGTCGATGTCTACCTGCGAAGAGTGATACGAGTGTAGACATTCCAAATCCAGACCCCTGTCTCCTCTGAAACCGAAACAGCTACCGTTTGCATATTTCCTATCCTGCACAACACAGAGCTGCCATCATGGCAGGTGCAAAGTGCAAAGCGGGGTCTCAGGAGGGGTTTCTTCCAGGGCGGCCTTTGTGCGGAGTGTATGCAGTACCCTATAGCAGGCTGTTTGATGTAGCATCCTACCGGGGCCCAGCTCGGACGCTGCGATATGCTACGATATGGACCTATGCCAGGTTCTATAGTTTGCTAGACTAGATCTCCTTCAACTTAATGACTGAATGACTGTGCTTGCGGGCTTTCTGGCTTTTTGCACCTTCCCGCGGTCCTCAGCGGATTGGAATAGACTCGAATAGACCATGCAGCCAGGCTTAGTGCAGCTTGCTATGAGAGCGCTCTGAGTCGCTGGCTGGCTAGCTCCTCAAGAATTGCCGGGTTGTGCACGCATGGACATACCGTGACATACCCCAAAAGGGTCTTGCCAAGTGCAACACAAACGTTATGACTAATTAGTTCTTATGACCCTAGCCCTATAGCCCTGAATCTGAATTTCATTCTTCATGACTGAGGTACTGCCTGAACCATGTCAACCAGACTAAAACATTGCTGGAGCCAGGGCGAATTTGGAGGTTTATGGTTCGGTTTAGGGTTATGGAGGACAGTGATGTGGCAAGAATGCTAAAGCATGGTAGCATTAGTTATCGTAGTGATGCATAATTAGCCTGAAATCGTAAGTTCGTAAAAGCCGTAGCACACGCTCGCACTGCAGCACTCGCCCTGCAATTCAGAGCGGAGCACCAACATGGTCTCAGCGTCCTTGCGGTGAACTACACCGGGGCGAAAGAGCCGCCCGAGCAATGACAGTCCAAAGTGGCAGTCCAACAGTACAAAGCCTGGCGCGACGAGGTCCTGCTCAACCCCAAAACCGTCTCAATGGAAAGCAGCCAGGACGGCAGGGCAGATCAATGCCCGGAAAACACAGAACTGACAGAACTCATCCAGGCCTAAGGCAGCCCAGTCCTTCTCGGCAGGGTGACCCTCGCAGCCGCAGCCACAACAAGGCCCCGAAGTGGAGCCGGCACAGGGTATGAAATTGCCCATTGTGTCAAAGGTGCCCATACTCAAAATGGACCTCAGCGACAATGCAATCAGCGACCGAGGACGGAGCATAGCCTTCATCCGACCTGCCTGGGTGGAGGTTAAGCTTTGGAAGCACCACTATGAGCACCACTATGCGGCAATCCAGGCAATCTAGCGTGGACAGGCGTCGCACATCTGCGAAGCAGATGGACACCATAGTTCCTTCGACGGTTTCCTGCCGCACGGCAGTCGGAATTGTCAATGTTCATCACCAGAATCCCGCCGAGCAGATAGTTCGGCCAGTGCTCCTTCCAGGCTTGTGAATCCTTTGCCTACAGTTCGACTCTGTGAAAGGGGGTATGTCGATGTCTACCTGCGAAGAGTGATACGAGTGTAGACATTCCAAATCCAGACCCCTGTCTCCTCTGAAACCGAAACAGCTACCGTTTGCATATTTCCTATCCTGCACAACACAGAGCTGCCATCATGGCAGGTGCAAAGTGCAAAGCGGGGTCTCAGGAGGGGTTTCTTCCAGGGCGGCCTTTGTGCGGAGTGTATGCAGTACCCTATAGCAGGCTGTTTGATGTAGCATCCTACCGGGGCCCAGCTCGGACGCTGCGATATGCTACGATATGGACCTATGCCAGGTTCTATAGTTTGCTAGACTAGATCTCCTTCAACTTAATGACTGAATGACTGTGCTTGCGGGCTTTCTGGCTTTTTGCACCTTCCCGCGGTCCTCAGCGGATTGGAATAGACTCGAATAGACCATGCAACCAGGCTTAGTGCAGCTTGCTATGAGAGCGCTCTGAGTCGCTGGCTGGCTAGCTCCTCAAGAATTGCCGGGTTGTGCACGCATGGACATACCGTGACATGCCCCAGAAGGGTCTTGCCAAGTGCAAAACAAACGTTATGACTAATTGGTTCTTATGATGACCCGAGCCCTATAGCCCTGAATCTGAATTTCATTCTTCATGACCCTGAGGTACTGCCTGAACCATGTCAACCAGACTAAAACATTGCTGGGGCCAGGGCGAATTTGGAGGTTTATGGTTCGGTTTAGGGTTATGGAGGACAGTGATGTGGCAAGAATGCTAAAGCATGGTAGCATTAGCTATCGTAGTGATACATAATTAGCCTGAAATCGTAAGTTCTTAAAAGCTGTAGCACACGCTCGCACTGTGGCACTCGCCCTGAAATTCAGAGCGGAGCACCAACATGGTCTTAAGAGCCGCCCGAGTAATGACAGCCGGTAGCGGCAGTCCAACAGTACAAAGCCCGGCCCGACGGATGAGGTCCTGCTCAACCCCAAAGCCATCTCAATGGAAAGCAGCCAGGACGGCAGGGCAGATCAATGCCCTGAAAACACAGAACTGACAGAACTCATCCAGGCCTAACTGGGCAGGCCAGTCCTTCTCAGCAGGGTGACCCTCGCAGCCACCGAAAATGAAGGCTTATGCTTTCCGCGATGCCGCGATGCCCTGTGCACCCGCATGCGTCATGGCATCCTGCTCTCACATGAAACGCCAAATGCTCTGCACAGAAAATTGCAGATGCTGAGCTCGAAGAGCCTGGGACACCAGCCGATGCACCCAGCTCAACGGGGAAGGTTTCACCAAGCTCAATGGTCCTTCAACTGCCCCGGAGAGGCGGAATGGCCGTTAGCCAATCCGGAAGAGCTGACCTCCCAGCAGAGGAGTTTTGTCCATCGATCCATCTTGGCCCGTAGGTCGCGCTCTGTGAAGTCATCGGACGAATCGCAGACATCGCAGTAATTTTGCGCGCAGGTCACTTCTGAAGTTTCGATTGTCTCCAACCTTGGGGTTGGCATGCTATGCGGACAGACCGAAGTGGAGGCGGAGGGTTCAGTCCATCCCTGGAAAGTGAGGCCAACCCTATCTCCCCATAGAGATCAACCTCAGATCATGGAACTTCTTCCACTAGTAAGGGTTGTTCCGATAAGGGAGGTGTGAAGGGAGGAGTGAAGGGAGCAATACAGCAAAGTCAGTCATGGCCAGGCCTTGCATATCCTTGCAGTCGGCCACCTGCTTGTAATTGCACCCGAAAAGAGAACCCAGCCTCTGCGTTATATGAACCTTGCTGGGTTGCAAATATGCGAGCGCAGAGATCTCATCAGCACTCCTTCCCATCATCTGGCTTTATACAGCTTGACTAGCATGATTCTTCTAATATTCTTCTGCAATTCACGAGGGGTGCTGCCGAGGGCTCAGCAATGATATGTCAGCTGGGTGGCTTTTGGCGCAGCGAAGATTGCCGGCACAAACAACCGCTGCTCCAGAACCCATGCTTTTGAGATGTCTGGGGCCTCATGTTTTTGCAGGCCTCCTCTCGGTACCTACTTGGGGGGGCCCCACACCTCGGCTCCCCTTCGCCGGCGCACCCCCCATTCGCGAGCAGGTGTTGGCTTATGGGTAGTGACGGTCAGGATGGGATCACAAAGTCGCCATGTTTGGGTCGCCTTGTGCGCCTTGTGCCATGGGCTCCAGCCGACACCGCGCCAGGAGCAAGCCGTGGTGAACAGCGCCAGGGACATTTGGATGCACGGAGGCGGGGGGGACTTGTCGTGAACGATGCTTTTTCACCTGACTGACTTCTGTTGGCGCCTGTTGTCTTCTGATCAGTTTAACGCGTGTTGGCACCCATTGTTTGGTCCCGGACTTGTCCATAGTATGTAGAGAGCCTCGCTCCCTCAGCTCACTTGGGCAGGTCACAGCTATGGCGTTGGCGTGCTGGCGGAATTCTGGCACTTCGACCTCCGGACCGAAAAATGGAGCAATGAAAGCTCCAATTCCAATCCGAGGCCAAGCGCACGCATGAACCATGTAGCTTTGTACCATGAAGATGAATATGAAGAACACAAAACAATTTGGATTCACGGCGGCTACAGTGGCGACGCGGAGCTTGATGAGTTGTGGCGCTTTGATCTTCAGACCCGAAAGTGGACCCAGATGCAGAGTCAAGCGTTGACACCCCCACCACGCTACATGCATGTGGCGGTGGTGGCCTCTGGCTGCATTTGGATCCATGCCGGCTCGGGCCCCTTGCGGAGGAAGCGGCAGGATCTCTGGCGTTTCCGCATCGCCGACGGAAATTGGACGGATGTGTCCTCTGATGGGCCTGGGCCGCGCGAAAGCCACGTGGCCGTGACGAATAATTCCCACGTCTGGGTGCATGGAGGACACCGCGTGGTCCTTACATGAACGGTGCCGAAGGCTCTCATCCCAGGAAGCTTCTACCGTAACTTGTACCGCGCCTTTGAACCACTTGAAAGCCATGTGAACCTAGTGAAAGGACATGGCCTCCTGGGCCTGCTCGACGATCTTTGGTTCTTCAGAGCCGAAAGCTTCGAAACCCCTGCCTGGTCACAGGCCCCTGGGCCTTCAGAGAAGGCAGTGTGCAAGAGAATGTGCAAGACTTCCAACTTTTGTGTGAGCCGGAGTTCAGACATATGTTGCTGCGTAGTCTTGAATTGATGCTTCGGCGTGTCTACAGCAGAAATTGCGGAGCAGGCATGTCAAGTTTACCCGTCACGGCCGGGAAATTCAACTAATGTAGGTAAGGTGTCTCCATAGGTCTAGAGTCGGAGTCTCGCACCCCAACTGCAGTCTACAGTTACAGAATCTTGATCTGAGCGTGATCAGCCCCTATGACATCCCCAAAATGAACTTCCGCGTGCAGTGTAGCGAGGAAGAAAATCGATCAGCTGGCCCTTCAGCTCGCGAGATGCACGATGCTGTCCTGATGGACGAAGCTGGGGCTGAACCACAAAAGGGTTTAGGGTTTAGGGTTTAGGGTTTAGGGTTTAGGGTTCAGGGTTCAGGGTTTAGGGTTTAAGAGGGATACGTAACGACGTAAGGTCTCTCAACCTGTCGCCTTCTGGGTCCATGTCAGATTGCAAGTACGGTCGGCTGGAATGAGTCGTATCACTTGGGGCACGACCCGAAGGGGTCTTAGGGAGGTGTTTCTGATGGCTTCTCTGAATTGTGTGTGCTGGGTGTTCTTATGATCATGATTGGAGGTGTTTGCGTGAACTTAAGAGGTTTCTGATGGGTTCACGGTTTAGGCCTTGCAAAAACCATATTGGTTGGAGGCTCCTCTTTTGGGGACCAAGCCAAGATGCTGAACGCCACGAACGATATAAGACGCGACGCAACGCGGCGTGAAGAGGCGAAAGGGAGACCTGACACGAGACATGGCACCAGACATGGCATGAAGGCATGACACGAAGACAGGACTGGAGAAATGACACGGGACACATGACACGGAACACGGCAGGAAGATGCCAAGACATGAATGACACCCAGACGTTAAAGAGTCCAAAATGGCGACAGCTATGCGGGTCACGATTTGGTGGCTGGTCACGATCCTTAGTGTACTGTTTTTGACCCTCGCACGTCAGAGTGCAGAAGCCTTGATGAGCTGGTGGTTGTGTCGCTTTGTGTGCTCGAAAGTGGCAACTCGTGTTGCCACCGGAAACCACGAAAGCCTCATGTCAGAGTCACTCGGAACGCCCAAGGTTCGCGTTTAGGCTCGGGGCTGCCAGTCTGGGAGTTCTGTGAGAACCCACGAGAAAGCACAATTCGTGCCCGCGAAATCTCTGCGTGTCGTGCTTGGACCCATCTCCAAAACGAGACGTCGCCAAGATTCTGCTGGGGTCTCGATCCTCGTAGCTTTCAGCGCTGGATCCCAGTGGTCAGCTGCTGGGACGCAGCGCGAGGTGAACTCTTGCCAGTGCTTCATTGGGCTCTGTGCATCTTAGTGGTCACATCGGCCACCACGTGCCAGCTCACCTGCCAGGTGACGCAGCGCATCTTACGCCAGAAGATCCGTAAGAGCAAGTGTCATGTCGCTACAGATATTCGAAGATAACACATCAACCACGCATCTAACCAACTGTCCTTCTTTTCCCTTCTTTTTCGTCTGCTGCAGTCCCTTGCGAAAGGCCAGAAATTCCAAGCGACGTCAGAAATGTGTGGGGATCGCCTGAGTGCAAATTGTGCTGCTTCAGCTGTACTTGGGTTTACCCAGCTTGCGGTCTGGCGTTCAGGGCTTTGGCAGCTCATTGCACCAGCCTGGAGCAAATTCCTTGCATTCCAAACGTTGCCCAGGCGAAGATATGGGTCCATGGTGGTCGACAAGTGCCTGGGTCGTGGGATAGAGCGTTCACGCACGATCCACAAACAACCAACACCCCCAAACCCGAAATTCCAAATCCCCGAAAGCCTGAAATGTTCCTAAACCCTAAACCCTAAACCCTAAACCCTAAACCCTAAACCCTAAACCCTAAACCCTAAACCCTAAACCCTAAACCCTAAACCGTCTAAACCAAGAATCACTCAGCGTCCCTCCAGGCACCAGGAGATCGTGGCGAGGGCAGGCGCTGACCTTTTAACATCCCCAATCACGCCTCGGCGCCCGACCAGTCCGTCAGGGTTTAGGGTTTAGGGTTTAGGGTTTAGGGTTTAGGGTTTAGGGTTTAGGGTTTAGGGTTTAGGGTTTAGGGTTTAGGGTTTAGGGTTTAGGGTTTAGGGTTTAGATCCCTTTGCCTGACAGGCACTGGCTTTCAGATGTGTGGTATTTTGACCTGCTCACGAAGAAGTGGGGCGAGGTCGAAAGAACCCCAGAGCCACGCATTGCCTACCCGACGAGCATGAGCGGCAGTGGGAAGATTCTCGGATGTGGGTAGCAGAGGCTTCTGCTTTCATGCCGGGCTTTGCACGGAAAACGTGCATGAGGAGCTTTTTTTTCGTATCCTTGGGAGCTAAGGTTGTGGCTTCAAGGGCTTCGTGCCCGGGAAGGCCCCAAGGGAGATTGCAATTCAGAGCTTATTGCAGTCGACCTGGGCTTAAGGGCTTGTCCAGCGGAACTGCTGACATGAGACTTGCAGAAGCTTTCGACGTGTAACGCCTGGTTCCGGCAAGATTTTGCATGAAGATAAGGTTCTCGAAGATTACAGAAGCTACTTTGTTTTCGAGTTTGTGTTGCGTTAGGGGCGGCCCGTCAGAAAGAGCACACTTCACAATCCGTCGGAGACCTTTGCTGCACGAGCTCTTTTTTGAAGCACGTGCAACGAAGGGGAAGCTTGATCATGTAGTATAGACACAGCGCCGTGGCACTATCAGAAAACTGCACGCGTCTGGAATCGGAACTGCGCAAACCATTCTTCAGCGGCCTTGACGCAAAGGCGCCAGTTTTTTTGATGTTTTTTGAGAAAGTCGTGCTTGCGAATTGTGCGCAATGTTTCTGGATGGGTCCAAGGGTGAGTTTTCTTGAACAAGCTGGGAGTTCACTGCTTGGGGTAATTCTTTCTGTCAAGAGTTTGCGTGTCTTTTTCGACAGCGCCTTCGCTCTCTTCGCTCTTGCCACCGGAGGCTCTGGATGCCCTACTATGCGATTTTTGACATAGGATTCTCGTATGTTCAGTGAGCTTTCTACCGTCCGTTGTGAGTACCTGATGCGGGCCAGCTGCCAAGGGTGTGCTGATGGGTGTTTTAGCTGATGCAGCTGATGCACTTGACAGTCGTAATGTTTGGGGCACAGTTGGTCAACATGGCCGACTCGCGTCAGTCAGCTTCTACCCTTACAATCACTCCCTGGTGAAGCCCGAGGTAGCTCTTGAGTGGCTCCATTCTTGACGCAGCCAGCTTTGCGTCTCAGATCCCTCGCATTTTGCAGGTGATGTCACAGAAGTGCTGGTACTGTGGGAGTGCAAAATGCCAGCTTGCACCTGCGAGGAGACGTGCCTTGGCTTTGTTTCAGCATATGCATTCACTGGGCATGCAATGTGTATGAGATACCATGCACACATACACACATACATACATACATACATACATACATACATACATACATACATACATACATTCTTACCTACATACATACAATCTTGCCCCCCCCCCCCCCCCCCCCCCCCCCCCGCCCCCCAAGCCTGCGCTTCCGCCGCTGCAGTGAGTTCATGTGTGCGCCTAAGAAGCCAAGTTTGCAGAGCCGGAGGTCGTATGATTGGAAAGGTTATTGAAGCCTGCAGAAAGAACCAAAGAACCCATCATGGCCCCGAAATCATGCAGAATTTGTGCTCCATCGAGAGTTGCATCTCACCACGCGCTGTTACAGGCTTCTAGATCCGAAGAAATCCCAGTAACCCCGAAATCCCCGCGAAGGTGGACGGCAGAAACAGAACCAGAGTCGCAGCTCGGCATGCTCGTGGAGTTGCGGCTTATTGAGTGAACATAGGATAGTGATAACAAGAACCATAGCATTGATGAAAGCAATTGTTCTGCTGATGATGAAAACTGCTTCAGGCGCTACATTGCCTGCTTTTGCAAATCGGTGCGTGGACCCTCCGAAAGGTACAAGGTCCGCTGCAGGAACCAAGTCCTCACGCCAAGGATCCACGCCGACTTTCTTTTCGTGGCGGTGTGGACGCTGTGCTCCCTGTGCCCTGCTTCGCAGCGGGACTGGGTCGCTTCCAATTAGCTCTTCATCCCATCCCCATTCAACATGAGGGGCATGAAAGTAAGGCACATGATTTCAAGAAAAGTCCGGGGACGTAAAGTTGTAAAGCCGTAGATCCTTGATGCGTCCTGGTCGGGAGGTGCTGCTCAGTGATTGGTGCTTGGCTGCTTGCAAGCGGAGAGCTTCGCCTCCTCAAACTCGGATTGAGGTGGGAAGTTGATCCTGAAAAGGGTTCAAAGGGCTACACGGGCTATTCTCCAACATACTGTACTGGATTCCTTGTTGAAGACCTTGTGTTGCAATCAAGATCCTGATATTTTGCGCGGTAGAACCGCAGAAATAATGAGCCTTACCCAGGTGGCCTTAACCTTGTAAGCTATCAAACGCGCAAGTTGCCGCAAGTGAGGTGGCTTGCGCAATTTGGCTAGGATCGGGCTGCTTCGGCTTGCACCTAGATTCCCTGCGTGCCTCTGCTCCCTACGCACCCAAACTCTGCACCTTCATCGAGCTCCTTCATTGGCACGGAGGGTTTGATTCATTGATTGCCCTTTCAACAAAGTTCACGTGTGAAGTCCTCTGACACTGCCAGCTTGTTGCTGGTTCTTTGCGAGGGTTTAGCCTCTTTCTGCCGTCGCAGAGTCATCCTGCTGATTGGCCATGGCTCCCACCACCCAAATGCTTCGTCATAGCTGGGTACCATTTTAGATTAGATTTAAATTTTCAATATTATCCCAACCTTGAACTAGAATGAACTGAACGGAGAGACGCCGCAAAAGACCATGCACAGGAGCCTGCAAATCTAACCCTCCAGCCCTTCTAATCGGGCAGCACCCGCAAAAATGCCGCACCCACACATGAAGCCTTTTGGCTTGAACGAATGCAGAGTTTCTCAAGGGGGGTTGGTTTCACGTCATGAACATCGTTTGCAGGCGGGTGCTGGGTTCTGAACTACATATGATAACACTCACCTCTTTTGGATATTCGTCCAGGTGGCTGGTCAGCCCGATCGGAATCTGCCGATGTGACACAAAGTTTATGCTGATTTCCGTGATGTGCGCGCTGATGTCTACAGTGGTTGGTTTTGCCATCTCGTTGCTGCTCTTCTCCAAGAAGCTCCTGAACATTTACAACGACTACCAGGACTTTAAACATCTTCGAGATTCCGTGCACGAGACGTCTGTCTTCGCCAGTTATTTCGCTGTGCCGAGCGGCGTTACTTGGACTCCTGGTAAGAGAGCTTTCTGCTTTTATGCTGAGACTTTCTTCAGCATACCAACAGCCAACTGCCGATCCTCTCTCCTCGAACTGTGCAGTCCATTTCAGGTTGTCGGTCTGGTCGTGTGCTTCGTGGTGGCACAAAGGGTCTACAACCGCAAAGTTGTGCAGCCTCTGTCGAGGAGTCTGGATCTTTCCGAGAAGTTTTTTTTGTTTGAACCAATGGTTGTGATGTGCTACTTGTTTTATTTTTCTTGAAACCTTTCGCTATGCTTGCGCCAAATTCTCCCTCTGCCTTTGACAATGCATGTGAAGGAATGGCCTGCTGGACCCACGCGGCCTTGCAAAGTATTTGGTGGATGCGGTGACTCGGCTTGGCCCTCTGCATCTTTCGGGGCCGTATTTCTCAGCACCTGCCAGGTCTAAGGGTCGAGGCTGCACGGTTGTTCAAGGGAAGCTTGCTCTGGGAAGCTTGCGCCAAAAGGCGTTCCAAAAGGAGATGTTGAGTGGCAAACCCAAGGCCCGAACCCGTGAGTAGCAAAGGTAGGAGCACGTTGACGAGGGCCCAACATGGCTTCTTTGACTCTTGTTTCTCAGTGTGCCTAAGAGTAATCCAGAGACGTTTCCAGAGGAGAATACCCAACCCTAGAGTTTTGGGAAAGAAGCAAGTACGGTTGATGTGAGCGAGAAACTCTAAACCCGAGGACATGGTGAGAAAGCTAGTAAACCCCAAAACCTGATAAGTGTAAATGTTTGCGCGCGCCGTCTCGGCAACCGGGCCGGCCGCGCACGTCAGCGGTTCAAGCGGCGCACTTCGGATTGCAGATTTGGAGAACCCTCGGTCGGGGAAAAGACGCCGAAGAGGAGCTGACCCCTAAACCCGAAGCCTTGCCCCAGCAGCGTACGTGAGCTTGGGGGATGTATATGCTTGCTGGAGGACCCCTGATGCCTAGTTTGCCTGGATTAGCCTTGCCAATGTCGCACTTGTTGTTTGTGCTCCTGTGCTTGTTGCGAAGTGAAACTTGGTTGCCAAGAAGCCTGGCTAGGCTGGATGGCATTTTGAGCCTTGTTTTGGCTGCAGGGGGGGTCAGGGGGCGGCTCGGGACACTTTTTTGGCCTCGGGCAGGCCAGCCCACAGCATCGGACTGCTCTTCCCCTAGGCGAATTTGGGCCACAAAATTTAAGGAGGGGGGGGGAAGGCGCCTCTGAGCCCCTTTTCCTCTTTTGCCAAAGCTCCCGCAAACCACGTCGGTGAAAATGAGGCTTTTGGAGGCTCACTTGCAAATATGAGCAAAGGATCTCTGGAAGATCTTGGAACACTCAGAAAAGCGACGCGCGCGAACTCGCCATGACTAGCCCGACCGGCTCTTACCGCAACCGCGAACCTGAGCAGATGCCGTGCTGAAAGAAAAGGCGAGGTGCCTATGTGAGTGGCTTCTCCAATTGTTTTGGGGTTCGCCTTAAGAAATTTACTAATTCTGTTGAGCGCTACATAGGGGCACTCCTCATTTTCCTCAGGCTGTGACGTGGAGTGGTCACTTAAGCTTTCCGGTCCAGAAATTCCTTATCCGCTAGATCTAGACTGGACCGTTCTTTGGCTGAGCATGAGCTGAAATCCCTTCCAATGCAAGCTTTAAGGACATTCGCCTCGTTCGCTTTGAATACCTCAAAGAGCTCAAGGAGGCTGAGGAGGGCTTACCGCGAAGGCATCATGGGCTCATGGATCTGCCTGCTGCTCGCACACAACTCACCTCTCGGCATGGTGGCCAATCTTTTCTGTGGCCGGTGTTGTTGTGGGTGCTGCTGGTGGGTGTTGGCGGTTGTGTCGCCTTTACATGATATTGTTGCGAAGCGCATTGCTACTTCTGTTCAAGTTGTTCGAAGTATTGTTGCCCTCCTACTGGTGACCAATCACGGCCACAGCTACTTCAGCCCGTGCTGCTTGCTGCCTACGACTTGTGCAACCCACTAAGCTGCAGGTGATTTTGGCTGACCAGGGCTTTCACGGTTTCGGGGCTTGTAAGTACGGTGCAGATCACCGCAAGCAAAAGCGCGATCTCTGAAGCCTCCCGAAGGCAAGAAGCGCAACGGCGGAGGACAGCTTCAGGCAAGAAGGCTTTGGTGAGCCACAAGGAGGCGAGGCGGAATCACTGCCTTGGGGTGCAGAAGCAACTCACAGTTTTAACGGGCACCAAAAGTGTCACTGAGCCGAAGCACAGGTCCTGGACTGGGCTTGCGAGATGCATCGACGGCCGTTGAAGCAGAGAGTCATTGCCGTTTCACACGGCTGGGAAGCGCAACAGCACCCAGACCCCTGGAACTTCCAGCTGAACTTCATCGTAGACTCATTAGAGGATGCGTGGAGCAAGGGCCTCGTCTTTGCAGTCTTCTTCGACTACGTGTCCGTCCACCAATTTAGGCGAACAACGCCCCACCAGCAGAAGAGCTTCCAAAGGACCGAAAGACGCGTTGTTGTGTTTGTGTAAGCTGGTCTGGCTCCTGCTCCTTTTAGGAAAGCATTAGGAAGTGGAAGACCTGCAAAAGTCATATCGAGCTTAGGAGTTCTGTATGTAATTTGGAAGGGTATTCTCGGTGAATCGGTATTGTCATTTCAGGTGCGGTTGCTCTGGTCGGGTTTCTAGGATTCGGTTGAGGGTCCTTGTCTTTGCGTTCGTGTAGTTCCAGTACACGACTCCAGTGCGGTCGCTGAAGGACCATGAAAAGCATGCACATCCTCTATGCCCACGACTCTGGGTCTTTTTGCCGGTACCACATTTTTGATTTCCGAAGTGTCACCCACGCAATGTTATTTAAGGGCTGGCGCCGCGTCCACCCAGGGTTGCCCAAGGCGGGGGGGCCAGGACCTTTGAGCCAAGCGGACCGTGCGGGGGGGGGGGGGGGGGGGCGGGGGGTTGGTGGTCATGGGGTGGGGGGGGGGTGCCAAAGGGGGGGGGCCAGGGGCCTTTGAAATGAAAGCCCTCAAAAACTCTTCGTCTTTCCAGACCAGCTTCAACGGCACGGTCGGCGGATTGCAAAGCGTCTTGTTGTGACCCACAGGAAGAGGCATCAAGTCACGCTTCAGAATTGCTGCACCCGACCTGAAGGCCGATACCCTACCTTTCATTCTGGGGTACTCAACTTCTGAATTCTGGGGACTACCGAGAACATGTTTAAGGGACGTTTGGGGTATCAGCGCTGGGCAAGTCCCCAAATCCTACACTGGCACCCAGGATTGGGCCCACACCTTGGTCATACAGGAAATGACGCCTGATCAATTGAAGGTCGACAAGGACGAATCTGCCCTCCGATAAGGCAATCGTCTATGAGTAGCCCAAAGTAGCCCTCTTTCCAAGGTCCATGTCTGTCTTGAGGGAGCTTGGCTTTCAGGATTCGGGCTTGGGGAGGGTGTCTTCATCGGAAACTTGGAGCTTCACTGGCAGTACTTCTGGTCCGCCATCGTCATGTCTAGGAATTTCAAAGCTCGCCTCCGAGAGCTGTAAGTCTGATGCTGTTGGTGTTGTTTCAACCGCCACCCTCGGTGGCGCAAGCCCGATAAGCTGCTAGCTTGACCCAATGACTGTGCTCCGATGAGAGGAGGTTCTGGCTTACTTTGAAACTGGCGGGCTGGCCTCCGTGCGCGAGCAACCAATCGCAGAGCTGAAGCTGAACTCCACACCTTATCTGAAGCGCGGCGTGCTCAGAGTTTTTGCACTTGCTCATGTTAACGCAGGATGGCTCGGCTCTCCTTTCCTGATTGGCGCTCTTTCCTCCATTTGCCTTGCGAGAACTGTAGCTTCATTGCGATACTTCTTGGCCAGGCACTGGCTGGACAGGTTCTGTGCAAAAGGCGATAGGAGTGCCGTGTAAGCGCACTTCACGAAACCCCGAAACGTTCACGACTTAAACCAAACACCCTGAGAGAATGAAACCAAAATGATGCTTTTTCGAATATACCCCGCAAGAGTAGCCCTGTGCGCCCTAAGCATCCCTAAGCCCTAGATCAAGGCGGTTGGTGCCTTGCGGAGCTACAATGGTCGAGCTTGAAAGGATCCGTCCTCGTGGAGCTAGCGCAGCTCCCTGGCCAACCAGCTCCCCAACGCTCCGGGTTGGAGCAGAAGGGAGGAGAAAGCATGAAAGCAGGGGGAAAATTGGGGCGTAGATTTATGGACTTGGGCACTGTTCCAGCCAAATGAAGCCTCAATTTCTTTAGTCTGGAAGGCTGCAGGGCCAACACCTTTGGAATCAGCGAGCTCCCCTGCCTCCGGATTTTTTCCGCAACTTGGCTTATTTTCACACTGTCCCAGAGGGCACTCTGTTCTCAAGGCTATCAGTGCCATGTCAACATTGCTTATCGAACATTGCTTTCATAGCCGTGGCCATCATCGGCTTCTTCGACTTCCTTGGATTGATTTCTGGCGTAAGCTCTGTTTCACGCACAAGATTCCCGCATGAGCCAGCCGGCCCAGCTGAAGAGATTTTTGGCCACGTCGTGTTGAAATGAGAAGGGATAGAAGGGTAGTGAAGCCCTCACCACTTTGGACAACAACAGCCCCTAAGCCTGAATCTGGTTGGTGGCCTCCTCCAGTGTTCTTTGTCATATACCCTAAGAATCAAGATCCACAAGTTTCCCCAAGAATCCCCAGGCATAACAGAAGCCCCAAAGGGAAAGAGGCCGCAAAAAGGCCACTGCACCATGAACCCTACCCCAGTTTTAATGGCCGAGGCAAACTTCTCTCAAAGCGAGATGTGAAGTTCACTCACCGAAGTGACATCGAAGTCCTCATCAAGGCTCGACGCATGAAGAAAGTTTGGATCCGTGTCTTTGGGTTGCAGCTTTCATGGTGCTCCTTGTACGGTTGTCTCCCACTGGCACAAACTCCCAAGCCCAAGTTTTTGGCGGTTCAGGTTCGCACGGTAGATTCTTGTAACAGAGTATGTGACGGGCGTTGCCGACAAAATCCCCCCGCCCTCATCCGGGACACGGAGGCTGACCTTCTTTATTGGTACTGCACTCCGGGGTCTCACACCACATGTGGGTTTAGGTTTTAGGGTTTAGGGTTTAGGGTTTAGGGTTTAGGGTTTTTAGGCCCGAAAGTGATGATCTAAGCCTTGCAGCAGCAGACAAGACGTCCCCACCCTTGAGTGTGATTGCAAGCCCTAGGATTCCTATAACTGATACTTTGGGATGTTCCTCCTTATACTAACAGTCCTTGAATAGGGATGACAGTGCCCCCTACGATAATCCCCATTAAGGACTGTTTGTCTAGGGGGGAACATCCCAACTGATACTCGTACAACAGAAGGACCTCGAAGCCGCCCCAACCAAGATCAACTCCCATGCTGAGAAGAGGCCCAGCAGCATGCCTTTGCAGCCAAAGCCTCTCAGAGTCGGAGTCTCAGTGTCTCAGGGTGTGGGCGGGGGGGGGTGGGGGGGGGGGTTCTGGGTTTAGGGCTTAGGGTCTGCTGTGATAGGGCGTAGATGCTGTGAAGATGAGGCTTTGGAACAAGCCCGAAAGCTTCGTTTGGCGCGAAGAGCAGCTCTGGCCCGACTGTGGAAGGCCATTTAGCACTTTTCTCCCACCCCACGCCGTCCGAGGCGGCAAAGCCGCCCAAACCTAGTCCTTTTAGGGTTTCGGCTTAAACTCAAGGCAACAGTCCACTTCTAAAAACTTCTTCCGTTTTGAAACTTTCAAGAGGGTTCACCTTGTGGGAAGGCAGGGGTCCCGGGTTTAGGGTTTAGGGTTTAGGATTTAGGGTTTAGGGTTTAGGGTTTAGGGGTCGCAGAAGTTCAGTGCAGGTTTGCAGGGTGTTACCCAGAAGGGTCCCGGAGGAGGCTGAGGTCAGGGGTGTCAGGAAGAGCCCAGCAGCCCAGGGGCACAAGGTTTCAGGAGATTTCAGGAGAGTCATCGAGGTCGAGGGGCTTAGGCCGGCGCCCAACTGTAGGGGGGCGGCCTAGGCCTTGAGTTTAGGGTTTAGGCGGTTAGGGTTTAGGGTTTCGGGGTTTAGGGGCTCAATGCTGTGCTAAGATTCAGATTGACGAGGCTCAAGCTCGGAAGTTGGAGAGGACTGTGTCTTCCGGTTCCGCAACTTCAGCACGGGTTCAGGCTAGGAGTGGAAGGAATGGCCGCTCATTGAGTTTCAGCTGTCATCCCGTTCCCCGAAAAAAGGCAATGCCAGCGGGCACTGTGCTGTACTGGTTGTGGTGGTTATGGGACACAAGGGCTTTCATGTGCCAGACGAACCCCGCATCAGTTGGAAACAGCGGGCATGGGCCCTCAAACTGTTTTGGGGGATACAACACCTTTCAGAGGTCTTGAAAGGGTATGCATGTATGTGTGTATGTATGTATGTATGTATGTATGTATGCATGTATGTATACACATACAGACTGTTACATACATACATTTTTGGCGTGTACTCACATCCCGAAAATGAAGGGTCCACTTTTTCGGGCGCATACTACTTTGCATCCGTTGCACCTTTGAGATTGTTGAATCTCCGGAATTTGTACAACCGGAACTGCAATGCTTTTCAGGTACGTCTTTGCACTTTGCGAACCTGACTGTGCTGGAGCTGGACATCTTGGCAGATGCTCTCCATCACTACAGCAACATCGCGGAGATCCACATAGTGGACAGTTGCCAAAAGTTTTGCATGAAGGGTTCATGGCGTCGCTTTTTGTTCTGTTTTCAGCTTAAGTTCAGAAGTTCAAGCCACCGATCCAGCCATTGGTTGATACAAGTTTTGCCCAAGGAAAGCGCCATCCACATCAGGCAGTCCAAAGCAGAAAGTGGGCCGACAATCAGGCTGAGCCTACGCGATACAGCGATCCTCGATGGCCCACGAGCTTTCCCAGACAGCTTGACCTTCGATTCTTTCGTCAAGCGCCTGAACTTCAACAGTAGCCTTAGGAAGGTGTCACTTCCGAATTGCAAGATCGGCGATGGGGAGACTCACTTCATCGCCCTCGCGCTGCGTTCGAACAGGTTGGAGAGCATATCGAGCTCAGCGGAAGTTTGTCAGCTGTTCTAATGCCTCTGAGCAAAACAAGTTGCAAAATGCTCCAAAGCTGTGTCCCCAAACCGCTTGGACGTAGGAGTCCTCGGCGTGCCTGCGCCTGAGGTGTTCTAGTGTGATCGATCAGTGATCGGCTGAACTCTTGTTTCCATTTGTTTCGCGTGTTGGGTTGTTGCTGTTGGACCCATGGTGCTCCCCTCGAGCCTCCCTTCACCCCTGCGAGTACTCTGCGTGCCTCTTGGAGCGCTTTTGGGTTTAGGGTTTAGCGCCTGGGTTTAGGGCTGTGGGTCACTGGAAAAGCAAAGGGGCATTCTGTTGAAGTCCCGGCAGGTGGACTTACCTCGACCTGCAGAACAACATCATCGGACCGGCAGGTGGATGAAGCTTCAGAAAAGACTCAGTAAACTGTCCCAGTCCTTTCGATACTTGTAGCCAGCCGGGGGGGGGGGGGGGGGGGGGGGCGAGGAATTCCAGGTTAAGACAAGAAGCTGCTGCCCTAAGCCTTTGGACAGGTGCCACCGAGATTGCTGCTCACATGGACTTTTCCAGCCTCGAGGAGTTGATTCTCGCAGGCCAGGAAGTTGAAAGCAAAGGGGAAGATGATATATATATATATATCTCTCTCTCTATATATATATATATATAAATCAGTGAGCTTGCAAGTGGTTTTGATTCAAGTTTGGATGCTACTATGGCCACCAAACTCCTACGACTCCAGTAACCTCCAGTAACTTTGTACCACTACTTTGTCATGCCGAGCCGAAGCATCCCTCTCCTGCGGTTTTATCTTGGCAGTGCCCTCCGTCATCTCGAAGTCTTACGGTTTAGGGTTTAGGGTTTAGGGTTTAGGGTTTAGGGTTTAGGGTTACCATTGCGTACAGACGCAACACCATGCCATACACCATGCCGTGCAAAGCAAGCTTTTACGGAGAGCTTAGGCGGCAAAGATGTGGCCCTATGTGAACCTAGGGATGAGCACACGGGTTCAACCACTTCATGCGTGATCCAACTACTGTTCATGGAGGGCATCCTCCATTGTACTGATGACTGAGGAAAGTGCGGCAGGGGCTTGAGTCATGCAGGGTGTAGCCCATCAATCTGGATTTTGGGTTTTGCCCTCGCGCAGCAGACATACGGATGCATACGCCCCAACGAGCGTCACGAAGCCCTACGTGACCTTGCAACCTTGCAGATCCGCGTGCACGTGCGGCATTTGAAGGCACCTGAGGCTAGGTCAAGAAAGCGTCCGAAAAATTTTCACTCGCCCGATTCCCGCACAAAGTTTAGGGGAAAGAGAGAAGTATGGCAGCTGTCCCTGATCATGTGCAAGCAGCAGGCAATCGGATTGAAGATGAGGGTGCCATATGCCTTCTAAAGGCATGGGCTGCCAAGATCACAAATGGCAGAATGTTTTTTATTTTTCATTTTTTGTGCCGTTGGCTCCTGGTGCGGGCATGGAGAGACAACTAACATTCGAACATGTGTTTTCTGCAGGAGTTTGTGCTTTAGGCCTTATCCTGGAAGAGAGTCTTCTTCCATGCGTGGAGGACGGGGAAGTGCTGAATTCATAGCCTTTTCAAAAAACCGGATGCAAGAATTGGTCCAGAAGCTCGCGGCGCTTGAGATTGAAATGTGCATGTATCAGCAAGCTGCGTAAGGCAGAATTTCGCCTCGATTGCGAGCGGCAGTTGGCACCGACTCATTTGAGCCTAGCTGCTTCTGTCTGTCGTGGCGACACATATATAGTGCTTATGCAGGACTTGAAATCATTGGAGCGATTGCTGCATTACTAAACAGTAAGTTTGGAGTTTCCTGGTGTCACGGGGCTTTTCCTGCAACGTGCTACGCGTGATCACTTATTGGATTAGCTACGTCCCAAACCTCTGAGCACGAAGCACCTGTTGCAGAGCTGGCGTTACATTGCCGGCGAAGTCTTCGCTGGACTTCCGGCTCAATGGAAACAACCCTAGTCTTGCGTGACTTCTGGCAATAGCAGTGTCAAAGCATGGAGAACAGGTTTAACCAGGATCATGGTGCTGATTTACTTCACTCTTCGCGGCCGCTACCAATCTAGATAGTGGCTCTCCTGTGGACGTATTTTGCAGCAGTGACACTACCAATTTTTGAGGACTGTTAACAACTGCGATTTGTGATGGGTCTAGACAGCTAGCTCATCAAAGACTCAATCTTCTCAACGGTGCACCACTTGCGATGGCCATGGAATGGCAGTGCACATTTTTGGTGGTACGCAAGGTTTTCCTCCGTCTACCGCAGTCTACAATACAGAATTCGGTTTCCATGCTCGCAGGACCAAGATCCACGAGCACTTGCACCGCACCACTACTGTCTCCGAACCTACGGTCTGCCTTGGTACTCTTGTTCACTTTCCCTTTGACATAGGGAGGGGGGGTTTCGAGACCCAGGATCATATCTGGGGGCCGGTTAGGCACATGGCCATTCAAGAGAGGCATGGGGCACTGACAATCTCAGGTCCTTGGCCAAACGTTGGGCCAAACCGTCGAAGCCACCGCAGCTTCACTGTATGCTTTCGTGGATGCGGAAGCGGTCGTGAATTACAACAACGAGAAGGCCCAACTGAGAGAGAGAGAGAGAGAGAGAAAACCCCCTGCCCCGCCCCAACAGCAAAAAATGCATCACTAAACTCCTAATGAACCTCTTGCAAATCCCATATGGCATGAACTCCTTACCTTCACCCTACAAAAATCCTTACTTCAGCGCCCCTTCACATCCCTTTAGAGCATTCTTGAGGGAATCCGCCTTCAAACCGTCTTCGAAAGGTACCTTCCGCCCCCTTCAAGCCCCTGCGAAACCCTTCTTGCATTCCATAACACCCTTCACTTCTTTGGCAAACCTACTCATACCCATGCCTCTCAGCTTTAATGGTCAAGGGCCAATGATTGCATGGCCCATGTGTCAAAGGTGCCCATACTCAAGATGGATCTCAGCGACAATGCAATCAGCGACCGAGGACGGAGCATGGCCTTCATCCGACCTTCCTGGGCGGAAGTTAAGCTTGGGAGGCACCACTATGAGCACCACTATGCGGCGATCCAGGCAATTTAGCATGGACGGGCGTCGCACATCTGCGAAGCAGATGGACACAATCATTCCTTCGACGGTTTCCTGCCGCACGGCAGCCGGAATTGTCAATGTTTATCACCAGAATCCCGCCGAGCAGATGGTTCGGCCAGTGCTCCTTCCAGGGTTGTGAATGCTTTGCCTACAGTTCCACTCTGTGAAAGGTGGGTATGTCGATGTCTACCTCCGAAGAGTGATGCAAGTGTAGACATTCCAAATCCAGACCCCAGTCTCCTCTGAAACCGAAACATCTACCGTTTGCATATTTCCTATCCTGCACAACAGCTGCCATCATGGCAGGTGCAAAGTGCAAAAGCGGGGTCTCAGGAGGGTTTCTTCCAGGGCGGCCTTTGTGCGGAGTGTGTGCAGTACCGTATGGCAGGCGTTTTGATGTAGCATCCTACGGGAAGACTCTGCGATATGCTACGATATGGATCTATGCCAGGTTCTATAGTTTGCTAGACTAGAGGGGTCCAGAGTGTTTCGAGTCTTTATCTCCTTCAACTTAATGGCTGAATGACTCTGTTTGCGGGCTTTTTGCACCTTCCCGCGGTCCTCAGCGGATTCGAATAGACCATGCAGCCAAGCTTAGTGCAGCTTGCTGTGCGAGCGTTCTGACCCATGGACATACCCTGAAAGGGTTTTGCCAAGTGCAAACAAACGTTATGACCAGTTCTTATACTGACCCTCGCCCTATAGCCCTGAACCTGAGTTTCATTCTTGACGAACGTGAGGTACCGCCTGAACCATGTCAACCAGACTAAAACGTTGCTGGAGCCAGGGCGGATTTTGGAGGTTTATAGTTCGGTTTAGGGTTACGGGGGACAGTGATGTTGCAATAATGCGAAAGCATGGTAGCATAGTTATAGCAGTGATACACAGCCTGAAATTTCAAGTCCTTAGCCCTGAACTGTCAAAGCCGTAGCACAGACTCGCACTGAAGCACTCGCCCTGCAATGCAGGGCGGCCCCCATATGGTCTTTGAGAACTACAAAGGGCGTAAGAGCCGCCCCAGCCCGTATCGGCAGTCCAACAGCACAAAGCCTAGCCCGACGGATGAGGTCCTGTTCAACCCCAAAACCGTCTCAATGGAAAGCACCCCACAGGACAGATCAATGCCCTGAAAGCACAAAACTGACAGAACTCATCCAAGCCTAACTGGGCAGGCCAGTCCTTCTCAGAAGGGTGACCCTCGCAGCATGTACGCCGCATGCGTCATGGCATCCTGCACTCAAATGAAACGCCAAATGCTCTGCACAAGAAATTGCAGATGCTGAGCTCGAACAGCTGGGACACCAGCTGATGCACACAGCTCAACAGGCAAAGTTTCACCCAGCGCAGCAACTGGCCGGAGAGGCGGAATGGGCGTGAGCCAGTCCGGAAGAGATGACCTCCCAGCAGAGGAGTTTTGTCCATCAATCGATTCATCTTGGCCTGTAGGTCGCGCTCTGTGGCCCGATGAAGTCATCGGACGAATCGCAGACATCGCAGAAAATGCCGCGCGCAGGTCCCTTTGAAGTTTCGATGTTTCTGCTGCAACAGGATGAACTGCAGGCGGAAAAGATGAACCGTGCTGCTGGGTTCAACCCATTTGTAGAGGCCCATTGCCCTCCTCTGTCTCGCAATAGAAGTGGGAGAAGTGAAGAAGCAATACAGCTTCAATTCCGTTAAGTCGGGGTACTTGGTCGGGCAGCTAGTGGCCTTGCCACAGGTGGCTGGCCAGGAGGAGACGTCGTGTAGAGCATTGTTGTGGGCACAGTATCAGCATCTAAGATCTGGAACGTTCGGTTGTGCTCACCAATGCTCAAAACGAGCGTTCCCTCGCTGCTCATGCCCAGATGCCCATCGGCGAACAGCTGTCCATCGATGAGCAGCTGTGGACAAGGCCGTCCCGTCAGATCAGATGCAGACATGCATTGGCTGCCAACAGACCGTCGATGAACAGTCGTACCGTCCCGACTTTGATGTCTTGCCACAGGAGACGTCGCATATGAAGTTGGGCAGCAATGCTGAAAATGTTGGGCTCACGCCTAGACGCCATCGATGAACAGCTGTGGGCAAGGCTGTCCCATCAGATCAGATGCTGCAACGCAGTTTCCCTGCCGCCTTGTCCACCAACAGACCGTCGATGAACAGTCGAACAGTTCCGATTTTGATGCCTCTGCCACAGGAGACGGATCATTGTGAGGGGCACAGCACAAGTGTCTATCGTCAAACCTTGAAAGTTTAGCTTGCTGTTAAGTTGGTCTCAACAATGCTCAAAGCGAGCGTGCGCGGCTCCCGCCTAGACGCCCATCGATGAACAGCCGTGGACAAGGCCGCCAAGCAGTTTCTCTGCCGTGTTGGCCACCAGATCGCCGATGAACAGTCGTACCGTTCCGATTCTAGGTCAAGCTCAAAGTGAAGATGACCCTAAACCCTAAACCCTAAGCCCTAAACCCTAAACCCTAAGCCCTAAGCCCTAAACCCTAAACCCTAAACCCTAAACCCTAAACCCTAAACCCTATTAAGTTGCTCCGCGTTCTTCGGCTCTATCCCGTAGGAGCCCCCACGCTGAACGTGTGAATCTTAGTCGAGTTGGTTGCAACGGGGTTGTGTTGAGCAGTGCAGAATCAACTTTCAATGGCTGGTTGCGGTGCAGGGCCAGGAACTCGTTTTTACAGGCGGACGTAAGTTTAGATGAGCATCTGTCGGATTGTTTGAAATATTTTGAAGCAATGCCGCTTTGCTTCATGGTTGGCGATGGACTGTGGCTGCAGATTGTCAAGGCCATGCTTGCACGCAGGCCTGTGCAGTTTAGGGAGGTTTAGGGTATAGGGTTCAGGGCTGCTGAAGAAACGGCTGTGGTTCACTTCATGCCAAGCACTAAGGTTGAGCCCAACATTGAGTTGGGGTACCGCATGTGCTAAAGCGTGCACGTTGCAACATGGTTATTGTTCTACTGGTACTGGTGGTTTTCCATGTGTGACGTGTTGAAGTTTGCGTGATCTAATGTTTATACTTTGAACAAACTAAGCTCCATTGCCTTTCTGAGGCTTCACTGGCGGGACTACTGGCTGGACGGCGGCATCTAGCAATGTCCACCGAGCCGCAGGCGCTCGGAACTGAGGCTTGGGAGCTCTCCCTGACCATGGAGAAGGGTAGGTTGTTGAACGTCACTTCTGGACGCATCTGGGCATCGGCCTGAGTGAGCCTGTGTTGCTGCCTTTGTGCCGCCAGCTCGCTTGAACACCTCCCTGATATCAACAAGTCAAGCAGCGCATTCCGAGCTCGTGGCCCGTACTGTGGTGTTAGAGCTAAAGCTCTCAGAGTTGCCAGCATAAAGTTGGAGAAGTTTCCACAAAGACGAAAGGGCAAGGCGCTAGCGAAGTTTTTTCATTGCTTCCCGAGCCCTTTTCCCCTTTTGAAGCCTTGCCCTGATGGGTAGGCCTGCTGTAGGGTGCCGATCCCAAGGAATTCGGTCCTTTGCCGGCCGTGCTTCGGCCTCCTAAGGCAGTGGCCGAATGTGTTTGACTGTCAGCAACGGGGCTCATGTGCTTCCAAGCCACTGAAGGCCAGCTTTCGCCGAGTCACCAAATGGCTGCCCAGGCTGATGTGGAAGGCCTCGCAGGTCATGTGATGTGCCTAGGCGAGGAGGCCACGTCCGAAAAGAAGCAGGTCCGCCGCTGCAAGTGACACGTCAGCCGAAGGGGGAGACTTTTCCGGGGAGCTCACGCATGCACTCCCGGTTGCACCCGTGCGTTCCGGCTTGCACTGCTTGCAGCGGTGGTATGGTTCCTGAATCGGTGTCTTGGGCTTGTGCCTATGTCTAGGCCAGCTGCCGGCGCTGCCAAGAGTTCTCCACCCCCAGACCTCCTGGCAGGTTCAATCGTGTAGTAGTCAGACGGGTTGTCGTGGTCGTGTGCAGAAGGGAGGTCGACCTTCGCTGCCGCCTCTTCGCCCATCCTGCACCCTTTTTCAGTGCCAGTGCCATTCCTGTGGTGCTGCTCCGCATTCTGCCTCAGGTCGGGGATCTCGGAAGGCAAAGGTTGACAGAGCGCCTGGGGTGACAGGTCAAGTGCCTTCGGTGGAGTGAACTCGTCGGACGGCTTCTTATGTTCGCTTGCAGCGTTAGACACGTTAGTCGGCAGGCGCCACTCGGTCTGCGCGACACACTGTGCGACACACGCAGCGCGCGCTCTCCTATTTGGTATCACGGTATCCCTTCTGTCAAGCTGAGCTACCGCTTGCGGACGGACGGGGGAGGCCTCAGATTCAGGAGTTCTGGCTCGGCCTTGTACTCTCTCACAAGCAGTAAGGTTTTTGTTGTTTTGCGCCGCCCTCAGAAGTAGGAACTCGCTCAATGTCGAAATTGACCAACCGCTAATACCTTCTTGGGATAACCTGGTCTACCTGGCAATGTCCATGCGTTTTGCGCTTGACGGCTCGACTTCTTGAGCTTCTTGAGGAGTTTGTGACCGTGTCTGTCGCGATACGACACCCTGTGCCTTTCCGCATTGCGCATGGCCGTAGCAGGCGTTTGAGACAGGAGCTTCTTTGGCTCAAGCCTTGCTGGCGTTTTCAGTGCTTGTGAGCAGCTTCTGTGTGGGCCCCCGCCTGCCGCACGGGTGCTGGTCGTCGTGAGGTCCGTTGATGGTTTCAATCAACTTTTTTGAGGTCAAGGACTCTGTAGACACACCGCTGCATGGGCCGTAGCTAGCCGCAGCCTCCACACCTCGACGACCTGCACTTTGCAGAAAGCGGGGTCTCTCTTGAAAGCACCCGGCATGCAGTTCGGGATCACGGCTAAATAAGAGGATCGCAGGTTTTCTTGCGAGTGCGAAAGGAAGCGAAGCCATGGGCTTGCCTGATGCCAAGCTCATGTCCCTTCCACATCTGCTTGTGAGATACCAAGCTTCTTGAAACTGATACCCAGGCGCCCAAACCTAGCAAAGACTCGGCAGTTCATGGTGTTCCAGCATAAAGCGTTTTCTATCATGGTGACT